AGGAGCCACACAGCCCCATTCCGCTGCCAGCATCCTGCAGGCCCCTCCTCAGGGAAGGCCCTCCGTGAAGGGTGAGGCCTGATCGCCACTCACCTACTCCTAATCCTGAAAGGTTTTGCCCTTTTCCCAAATAAAAACTTTGACAGTATTTCCAAAGGAGGCTTTTGACAGACTTGCCACATTGTCCGTGCAGGGAAGGTTGCCTGTCTCTAGCCATCTTCCTCTTCTTACAGCTGTGCTGAGATGTTTTGACTAGATGCAGGGCTGCTGCACTGAGGGTGCAACCCACCTCCTGCAGGGAAGGCAGCTAGACCACATTGCAGTGAGTGGAACGTGAGCGAAGGCCGTCTGCAGACTGCTTTTATTCTATAAAGAATGAGGATTGCGCCGGGCGCGGTGGCTCACCTGTAATCCCAGCACTTTGGGAGGCTGAGGCAGGTGGATCACAAGGTCAGCAGATCGAGACCATCCTGGCTAACACAGTGAAACCACGTCTCTACTAAAAAATACGAAAAACAGGCTGGGCGTGCTGGCTCATGCCTGTAATCCCAGCATTTTGGGAGGCCGAGGTGGGCGGATCACGAGGTCAGGAGATCCAGACCATCCTGGCTAATACGGTGAAACCCCGTCTCTACTAAAAATACAAAAAATTAGCCGGGCGTGGTGGTAGGCGCCCGTAGTCCCAGCTACTCGGGAGGCTGAGGCAGGAGAATGGCATGAATGCGGGAGGCAGCACTTGCAGTGAGCTAAGATCGTGCCACTGCACTCCAGCCTGGGTGACAGAGTGAGACTCCGTGTCAAAAAAAAAAAGAATGAGGCTTGCCCCCCCTTCCCCTCTCCTGTTCCCTGGTGGCTGAACCAGGAAGGGTGTGGCGGGGTTGTGTGTGGCCTTCAGGAATTTCAGTTTTCATTCATGACTCAGAAGGCTCAGCCCCCTGGCACGGGACAGGTTTCTCAAACAACCCACTAGGGTTAGGGGCCTGCAGGTTTGATTCTGTCCCTCTCCAGGTCAGGGTTCCTAATGCAGTCCCCTAAAGGTCTCCATCACCCTGCCTTCTCCAAATCCCTGGTCACTGTCACAGGCTTGGTCTTCCAGGCACCGTGTATGGTGGTGGTCCCTGTAGTTGCCCATACAATCACTCCCTTTTTCCTTAGTAACAGGAATCTTAATTTGATTCAGCTTCAGAAATACTGTTTCCAGCCTCTTTTTGCTGACAGGGGTGCCTGTGTGTTCCGGTTCCACCCAGGGAGTTTTGACCCAGCGCTCCGTGAGCTTCCAGGAGAGGGGGAGGCAGCTGCCATCCACCCTTTACCTTCTTCCTTCCTCCTCCTTCCTACGTAAAACGTGTGCTGGCTGGAGCTCCCGCAGCCAAGAAATGACACCTGGTATGGACGCCTCGTGCTAAGAAGAGTGAGACTGAGACCTAAGAAGGAATCTGGGCCCTGATGGTGGGGGAACCCCCACGCCAGCCCTGCACCACCGACCTCTCATCTCCATCAGGCGCTGGGATCCTGCTTCCTGCTCTGCGACTGAATCTATTCTGACACACTGTCTTCCAGTTCTGGTATAAAGAGTCAGACTTCACGTTAGCCAAGGGAGGCAGTGGGGGAAAGCAACAGCCTTGGCACTACCCGGCCCCCTTTCTGTCAACTGCCCCCGCTCTGCTCACTCCAGACACATGTGGGGGGGATTAGTGTCGAGGGAGCCAAGGTGAACAGCAGGAAAAGGAAAGCAGTGGAGACAGAGCTTTCCACCAGACTTTGCTCACAATGCAGCCACACAGATTAATCCCACAGCTACCACAGAAGGTTGTGTTACCCCCGCCTCACAGGAAGAGCTCTGGCAGGAAGAACAGCTGGACCCAAGTCAGACACGCAGGTCATGGGCCCAGAGCAGGGCCGGCCCAGTCCTACCGCACTCTATGACATCGGCCACCAGGCTGGTCTCCAGGAAATATGGCCCCTGGCGTCTACTTCCTAGTGTCAATTCCCTGTGAATTGCCAGGGGCCAGAATGTGGGTAGGTGGGAGAACAGATGGAGGTTGAAAGACCTCTGGTGGCAAAACACTGACCTCTACAGAAGTCTCATCAGGGAGCCTGAAATCCCGTGTTATTTCAGAAAGAGGGCAAGCTTCTGTTATATAAATCCATATGTTATGTAAAGTTATATAAAGCTAGACAAATATGTACATAACGCTATGGGTTTTGGTGGTAAATGTTTTATCTATGCACATTACGTGTAAATGTGAGGAAGACGTGTGGTAGGATACACCACCCACGCGTAAACACATAGGAGGGAGCGTGTGCAGTCTGTTTTGATTATCTAAAATGAACATGTAATATAAAAAACCAGTAGCTGGTATTTTTAAAGGGGTGCTCTGTATCTAACCCTCTAAATGCCCCCCACCTCTCACCCTCTTGGCTTGCCCTGAGGGCTTTGTCTCAGTTTCCCCTGCCCCACAGCCTTGGCAGGGTTCTGATGCAGGGCCCAGTGAAGGCTCAGGAGAGCCTTGGCCAGACTCCATCAGACATTTGTCTACACTGGGGGTGACTCAAATCTACACAAATGAGATCCCATCAGTGACCCAGGTAAGAGGATTGCAAAGGCCAAGAGGCTTGAGGAGGGAAGGCTGCCGGGAAGGCAGTGTGTCCTGGAGACAGAGCGGGCAGGAACCTGCAGCGACAGCAGGAGTGGCAGGAGGTGGTCACAGCTGGAGGCAGAAGCAGGAATGCAGCAGCAGCAGCAGCCAGGCGAAAGAGCTCTGTAAACCTGCAGACTGGAGGCTGGCTGAACTCTACAGCACTGAGTAGCAGAGCTTTTCCATCTGGCATTTCCACTTGCGTTGGTACCCACAGGCGCTTCGGGGTCTGGAGGCAGCCGCCATGCAAACATGCACACCACCTGAGCAAGCCTTGACGGGGGAATACCAGGAGACCCCTGAAGGTCTCCTTCCTTAGGGAGCCTGAGATCCAGTCTGTCTTGTAAGGGTGTCCTCTGGCCCCGCAGGCCCCAAGCTCTACTCCTCCCGCATCTCTCCCGGACCTCCCCTCACCACCCTCACAGGAGACCACCGGTGCCTGGCCTGAGAATCCAAGTGCAGCTGGGGAATGGCCTGGAAGAGGCGGTAAAGGCTGGCATGGAACAGTCCAGCATCACACAGTGGCTAACAGCAGAGTTCATTCCAATCCGGCTCTCCCACAACCCTCTGTGTGACCTTGGGCAAGTTAACCTCTGTGTGCCTGCTTCCTCACCGGTCAAACAAGAGCAAAACAGTACTCACCACCGAGGCTTGCTCTGAGGATTAAGTAAGTTCGTATTTATCGTGGAGCACTCAGAACAATGCACTTGGTTAGCTGCATGAAATGCTAAGGACATGGAGCCTGGCAGCCAAACTCCTCCTGGCTCCACTGGGAAGGGCGCAGTGCAGCTATCTCCTGGTCTACTCCACATCTGCAAAGCACAGATAACGACCATCTCCCCTTATTTAACAAAAAAGTAGGGCTAAATAACCCATCTAAGCAACAGGGGAAGGCAAAACCCACTCCACACACAAATCTCAAGGGTTAAAATAAAATGGATGTCTGACACTGGTTTCTGAGCCCAGATGGGAGGTCAGAGCTGCTCCCAAGGCCACGGCCTCGACACAGCTCCCCAGATGCCTCTGCCACCATGTGGTGTGGAGCTCCAAAGTAGTTTCTGCCAAGAACATTGCTAGCCCGGGGTTTTTGTTTTGGTTTGGTTTGGTTTTTTTGGAGACGGAGTTTTGCTCTTCCCGCCCAGGCTGGAGTGCAGTGGCGCAATCTCAGCTCACTGCAACCTCCCCCTCCTGGGTTCAGGTGATTCTCCTGCCTCAGCCTCCTGCAGCTGGGATTACAGGTGCCTGCCACCACGCCCGGCTAATTTTTGTATTTTTAGTAGAGATGGGGTTTCACCATGTTAGCCAGGCTGGTCTCAAACTCCTGAATTTAGGTGACCCACCCACCTCGGCCTCCCAAAGTATTGCAATTACAGGCGTGAGCCACCGCGCCCGGCCTAGCCCTGAGTTTTCAAACCCACTCAGGAAATCAGGAAACCAAGTTCGTGGTCACGACAGAGCAAGACTCCGAGACGGAGTCTTGCTCTGTCGCCCAGGCTGGAGTGCAGTGGTATGATCTTGGATCACCGCAACCTCTGCCTCCCGGGTTCAAGTGATTCTCCAGCCTCAGCCTCCTGAGTAGCTGGGATTACAGGCATTCGCCATCACGCCCAGCAAATTTTTGTATTTTTAGTAAAGTATTTTTAGGTTTCACCATGTTGGCCAGAATGGTCCTGAGCTCCTGACTTCGTGATCCATCCACCTCAGCCTCCCAAAGTGCTGGGATTAGAGCCACTGCGCCTGGCCGTGTTTTGTTCTTTTAAATGAATTAGTGGAGAACAGAAACTCTCAGAATGTTGCATGTGATATGCATAGGTAACAGTTTTGTCTGTGTATGTGTTCTGGGTGTTAGCAAAGCAGGCACTCTCACCAGGGTTGTGTTTGGGAGTCCAAGCGCCACTGTGAGGCCAACCCTGGTATCAGCTGTGCACCCTGAGGCTCGCCAGCAGGTGATAAAGGGCACTCAGTAAGCACTGCCTGGGTCAGCAGAGGGCACCGGGCACAAAGCACCTCTCAGGGACCACCCTCATCGGAGGAGCTGGTTCTTCCCCAGACCAGGCCTGCCCAGCCAGCAGGAGGCAGAAGCAGGAGACACTCACCAGCTTTCCTGCTGCGGCCTCCTGGCTCTACAGGATGATCAGCAGGAGCACGGCTTGGGGGTCCTCTCTAACGTGTGGCCTGCACTTCCTTTCCCCCCTGGCCCCCATCCCCTGGGCTGTCGCTGGCTTTTCTCTCCCACTCATCCACTTTCCTTCCTCAACTTTGCTTCCTCCCACCCATCTAGCCCTCTCCTTAACTCTTCATTCTCCCTTTTCCTTTCTTCCCCCGCCTGTCACCTCCTTTTCCAGGACACACACACACAAATATTTTTCAGACAATTCAGCCTTTACTTTATTTTAGAAAATAATTCTGTAGCTTCCACTTTCTTTCATGAAACTGAGGTCAGGCAAGAAGCAAAAATCCACCAAGTCCTCTCCACCCTGCCATGGCATCCTGGCCTGTGAGGACATGGGGCGCCTGGGAGTGGGCAGGGAGGCTGGGCAGCACTGGGCCAGAGGCGTCCTGGTCACTGGTCCACCTCATGCTGAGAGGCCACCAGAGCCACAGCCTGCAGGGAGGAGCCTATGCGCCAAACCCCAGAGGAAAAAGGGACACGCGGATCGAATTCTGTCTTCTACCAAGCCAGCAGGAGCCTCCTAGAGCAACAGGGAGGGGACTGATTTTCAGAAAGGAGGGGTCAGGGCACAGTCCCTCTCCGAGGTAAGGCAAGAGAGCGGCTGTCCCAGCACAAGGCCTTCCTCCCTGCACCTCTCCCCTGACAGCTGGGCATAGGCTGAGGAGAGGTCTTGCTTGCCCCCTTCAACTTTCCATCTCAGAATGATAAACTGCTAGGCTGCAGGGAGAGAAGGGCTGAGTGGGGGTCAGAGACAGGAGAGAAGGACGAGGCAGTGAGCCCCAGTGACCCACCAACTCCACCAGGCCCTGACAAGGCAGCCCCTTTGGTTAGTATCATTTTGGCCACAAATATGTCCCCTTCTCCCATAACCCAGCCCCCACTGGGGGAAAGGGAACAGGTATAGAAGGAGGGCTCATGCCCTGGCTGGAAAAGCCACGTCAGGGAGAAGGGTCTGGTCAAGAGGGCAAACGTTGCCAAACCCTCCGCACATGCTCCAGGAGAACACTCAGGACGTGGACATTTCTGGCCTCAACAAGCCCAGTGTCCCCTACCACACAGTGGTTTCCTGCTTAATACCCCACAACATACCCTAGAATAGTTCCCCTGATCTGACTCCCTTGAGAACGGGAGAATCATCCTCACGTTATCATTTGTGCACTTAAATGCCACTCGGAAAAATCAAAAAGATAAATGCACCTAAGAGGGAAACACAGGCAGGCCGATGCAGCCTGGGGACTGTGGTCCCACCTCAGCTCATGATGTGGTAAGGAGGGGCCCACGAAGGACAGGCTAATTCCAGCTAGGATCGTAGCCCTCCCACGTCGGCGGGGGCGCCAGGTGGACACGGCGGCCCCGGAACTGGAAGGTGACAATACCCCGGTAACCAGCTCTCGGAACCCCCGACTTAAGGTCATCCATGACACCCAGAGCCTTGGCGAAGGCCTTGAAGCTGTCCCTGCCGGTATACTGCACCCGCACCTCCCCCAGCTCCTTGCGATCATTGGTCCTCACTTTCTCCACCTGCAGCTGCGGAGCCGCGTAGACGCGGGCGAGGAAGTCCCGGTCATAGGCCTCCCGCTGCAGGTAGGACAGGTCCAGCTGGGTGAAGTGCACAAACTGCTGGTTCAGCTTGATGAACTTGAGGTGCTGGTCAAAGAACTGCCCGTGGCTCACACCCTTGCGGCCAAAGGTCATCGTTCTCGAGATTTCGGGGCGTATGCAGGCCCGCCCCTTCCGCTGCTCCGGCCGGCGCATCCAGTCGTCCCAGAAGGCCTTCGGCCACTTGGGCTCCAGCTCGGCCCAGAGCTCGGCCAGCAGCAGCCAGCCCAGGCCGGGAAAGAAGTCGGTGCGGTAGAGCAGCTCGGGCTTGCCGGAGTCCACCATCTGCTCCTTGCCGTTGTCATTCCAGGCCGAGACGCACCAGAGGGAGGGGTCGGCCTTCAGCAGCGGATAGGTGGCCTGGAAGTACTCGAAGAAGTCCGGGGCCACCTCCAGGTCATCCTCCACCACCACGGCCGCGGGGAAGCGAAACCGGTGGAAGACCTGGCCCAGCGCCCAGCGGTAGTGCCGCGCGATCTTGTAGTAGCCCTGGAACTTGCGGTGGTCCGGCGGCACCGCGATGCTGCTCAGGTCCGGCTGCCGGATGTGCGTGACCGCGCTGCCGTAGGAGGCGATGGCCTGCGCCGTCTCCTCGTGCCCACAGTCCTGGCTGACGATGATGGGGAAGCGCTCAGCCGAGGGCCGGTAGTGCAGCAGCTTGTCCAGGCAGCGCCGAACAGTGCTGCGGTCACAGGCGATGACCAGGATGGGAATCACCGCTGGCGCTGGGGTCACAGGCACGTGCGGCTGGGCGGGAGGGCCCGCTGTGGGCACCCTCCCCCGCTGGCTCCACAGGGCATCCCCGATCTGCTGCAGCAGCCCACGCTGCCGCTCCAGCTCCACCTCGGCGTCTTGGGCCAGGCGAATCACTTCCCGCGTGAGGCTGGCAGGGTCGTCATTCAGAGCACTGACTGAGGGTGGCCTGCCAGGTGCTGGGCGTGTCCAGAAGAAAAGGAGCAGCAGGGCATTCCAGGCCACAAAGAGGATAGCGCCCCACAGCACAAGCCCTGCAGACTGCTTCTTCAGCATCCTGGCCCCCACCGGGGAGGGCAGGCAAGCGGAGGGTTCAAGGCTGCCCGCGGCTTGCCCGGCTCCCTTGCCTGCAGTCCTGGGGATGCTTCCTCTGGACTATGGGATTAGCAAGCAGCCATGCACCTAAAGACAGGAGAGAGAAAACAAACCGTCACACAAAGGCGTGTGGCTCCACACCCCACAGGTAGAGGAATGTGGGGGGCAGGCAAAGGCCAAGCGTGAGGGTGGAGGGCCAGGAGGTTGATTCCAGAGCTCTCTGCGGAGTCCACGTATATGCTGACTCTCAGCAACATGTTCTTGAGGGAGAGGTAGAATGTGATGCGGGCAGAGGCAGAGAGAAAAAGAATCCTAACTCCTCTCTTTCCACCTGTCGGAACTCATTTCCCTCCAGCGGGGAAGGAGGAGGGAGGAGCAAGGAGTGAGAGCATCCGCCTACCATTCCTTTAACCCAACTGCCCCAAGATTACTGATTTTTAAAATCAAATATCACGCCTCAGGGCTAAAATTAATCCCTCACCTAACAGGGAAGCACCAGGGGCACCCCACGAATGTCAGGAGCAAAATGAAGCTGCCTATCATCTCCAGGGTTATTTAACATTTTGCTGGAGGAAGCAGTCAATGCAAATGAACCAAGAAAAAAACAATTCAAAGCAGAAGTGGAAAAGAAGCAAACTATTTCTATTATCTTTACTTGTGAGAATATGCCTGGAAAACTCTAAGAAAATCAGTAACAAACTAAACCAAACTATCAATGAACTGAGCAAGGTAATCAAATATAAAAATCAACATACACAAATGGATAGCCTTTATATCCACAAATGACTCATGAGAAGAAAACATGGATGAGAAAACCCTACTTACAAAAGCCAGAGAAATGAGAGAATATTTAGAAATAAACTTAAACATTCAAAACGTATGTGAACAAAACTATCATTCCTGAAAGACACAAAAGAACATTTGAACATCCCTTTTTCTTGGTCAGGACATCTCAGCATCATCAAAAATCCCAATAAAAATACCTTTTTATGGAACTAGACGAACTGACAATAAAGTTCACATGAACAACTAGGAAAACAGTAAAAATAAGCTGTGAGGATGGACTTAGCCCTACCAGATACTAAAATGCTGCACACTGGCCAGGTGAGGAGGGACTTAGCCCTACCAGATATTAAAATGCTGCACACTGGCCAGGTGAGGAGGGACTTAGCCCTACCAGATATTAAAATGCTGCATACAGGCCAGGTGCAGTAGCTCCCACCTGCAATCCCAGCACTTTGGGAGGCCAACGCAGGAGGATCACTTGAGCCCAGGAGTTCAAGAATAGCCTGGGCGGCACAGAGAGACCCTGTCTCTACAATAAAAAAAAAAAAAAAAAAAAAAAAAAAAGCTGGGCATGGTGGCATGCACCTGTGGTTCCAGCTACTTAGCAGGCTGAGATGGAATCACCCGAGTCTGGGAAGCTGAGGCTGTAATGAGCTGTGATTGGACTGTGCCATTGCACTCCAGCCTGGGCAAGGCAGTGAGGCTCTGTCTCAAAAAAATTATAAATATATACACACACACATACATATATCACATACTACAAAACCTCTGTAATTACAACTGTGTGGTACTGGTACATAAACAAACAGACCAGCCAATGAAATAGAATTTAAGCTCCAGAAACAGAGTCAATACACAAAGAAATATAATATATAATAAAGGTGCTACTTAAAATTCCCAAGGCCAAGATGGTCTTATTAATAGTGTTATAATAATTATGTAGCTACGCTATATAGCTTGAATATGGTCTGTTCTCTGAAACACATGCTGGAATTTGACCCCCAGTGTGGTGGTGCTGGAGGTGGGGTCTAGTGGTAGGTGTCTGGATCACAAGGGGGCCAGGGCAGAACCCTCATAATGTCCTCTGGTGAGTGAGCTAGTTCCCCAGGGATAACAGGCTGTTACAACCAACCCCAGTCTCTCTTGCATGCCACACTTCCTTTCCACTGTCTCTCCTGCATGCCCCACTTCCTTTCCACTGTCTCTCCTGCCTGCCCCACTTCCTTTCCACTGTCTCTCCTGCCTGCCCATTCTTTCCTGCTGCCTCCTGCCTCCCACTTCCTTCCACTGTCTCTCCTGCCTGCCCCACTCCTTCCACTGTCTCTCCTGCCTCCCCACTTCTCTCCTGCCTGCCCCACTTCCTTTCCACTGTCTCTCCTGCCTGCCCCACTTCCTTTCCACTGTCTCTCCTGCCTGCCCCACTTCCTTTCCACTGTCTCTCCTGCCTGCCCCACTTCCTTTCCACTGTCTCTCCTGCCTGCCCCACTTCCTTTCTACTGTCTCTCCTGCCTGCCCCACTTCCTTTCTACTGTCTCTCCTGCCTGCCCCACTTCCTTTCTACTGTCTCTCCTGCATGCCACACTTCCTTTCTACTGTCTCTCCTGCATGCCACACTTCCTTTCTACTTTCAGCCATGTCCATATAAAAACCTATACAGGAATGTTTATAGTAACTTTATTCATAATCACTCAAAACTGGAAATAACCCAAAGGCCCATCAACAGGGAAATACAGATAAACAAATTGTGGTTTACTCATAGAATGGAATAATATCCAGCAAAAAAACCTGAATAAATCACTGACATACACAATTGTGTTCAATCTCCAAATAAATACACAATATGGGTCTTTTTGGGAAAAATAAAAAAGAATATATACACTATGATCCCATTGACATAAAACTGCAGAAAATAGAAACTAATCTATATGACAGAAAGCAGATCAGTTGTTGCCTGGGGATGGAGGCAGAGAAGGGCAGTGGGGTAGTTACTACACAGGGGCTTTAGGAAACTTCTGGAAAGGTGAATATGTTTATTATCTTGATTGTGGTGATACTTTTATAGGTATATATATATATATACACACACACACATATATTTGTCAAAACATCAAATTGTACACTTTATATGCAGTTTATTGCACATATTTATATCAATTGTATGTCAATGAAACCTCAAAAAACTTTTTTAAAAAAGACATTATTGGGTAAAATGACAAAGTTGGAATATGGACAGTAGGTTAAAGTATCAGTGATAACTGATTAATTCCAATTCTTAGAATGGATGCAACTTCTTAAATGGTTCAGAACAAAAATATATTGCATACATAGAGAGGGAGAGCAAATGGAGCAAAATATTAACAAGTGAATCTGAGTAAAGACAGTGTGTACGAGTATCCTTATACTATTTTTTATTCTTGCAATTTGTGTAAGTTTGAAGCTATTTCCACATGAAGCTTCTTGACAGTCAAATATGTAGACATTGCCCATAGCTCTGAATAGCTTCATCCATCAGTGTCGCCCCAGCTGGGCACGTCAGCAAGGCAAATTGAGATGATCTGTTCGCCCTGAATTCCTCCGTCAGTCACCTGACAACATGCACCACACACCTGCTCTCTGCCAGGCTCTGGGAAGGAATCAGGACACAAACCAATGAGAAAAAGGCATGGTCCCACCTACCCTCTAAGCTCTACCAGACCACACTACTGGAAAGGATCTGAAACACTCCTGAATTCCCAGCCAGCTGCCCTTCCAGACCATAACTCCTTGACTGTCCTGCCTCTGATCTACCCTTCACACCTGGAAGCTTCAGGCATGCACCCTCTTACACCGACAGCTCTGCCAGTCACCCTCTGCCTCACAGCCTACTCTCTAATCCTGGTTGAAACCTTGGGCCTCAGATCTAATCTCTGAGGCTCTGGGCTCTCAAACCAGCAGATCTGGCTTAAAAGGGCTGATCCTGAAGGGCGTCTAAAGAGACCTGGATTCTGTCTCCCTCCTGGGGAGATTTCCCCAGCCCCTGCCAGCATTCACCACCACTTGTCTTCTTCCTAGAAACCAACCACCCCCACCGCTCCAGGACATGCCTTCTCAGAAACCTCAAGTCCATTTCCACGTACCTGTGCAATTAAATTCCTATTATGTCAGGGCTCACACACTACAGATCAATTAGATACATGTCATCAAGTGGCGGAGGAATTCAGGCAAACACTGTTTCAGTTGGCCTCACTGCTGTGCCCAGCTGGGGCCACACACATGGATGAAGCTACTCAGAGCTGTGGGCCATATCCCCATATTTGATTTTTAAGAAACTTTATGTGGAAGAAAAGAGTGATGCACAGAAGAGTTTCAGTTTCTTTATCTCCTTTTTTTTTTTTTTTTTGAGACAGAGTCTCGATCTGTCTGTTGCCCAGGCTGGAGTACAGTGGCATGATCATCTCAGGTCATTGCAACCTCTGCCTCCCAAGCTCAAGCGACTTTTTTGCCTCAGCCTCCCGAGTAGCTGGGATTACAGGCGCCTGCCACTATGCCCAGCTACTTTTTGTTTTTTGTTTTTTTTTTGAGACGGAGTCTCGCTCTGTCGCCCAGGCTGGAGTGCAGTGGCCGGATCTCAGCTCATTGCAAGCTCCGCCTCCCGGGTTTATGCCATTCTCCTGCCTCAGCCTCCCGAGTAGCTGGGACTACAGGCGCCCGCCACCTCGCCCGGCTAGTTTTTTGTTTTTAGTGGAGACGGGGTTTCACCATGTTAGCCCATGTTGGGATGGTCTTGATCTCCCGACCTCGTGATCCGCCTGTCTCAGCCTCCCAAAGTGCTGGGATTACAGGCTTGAGCCACCGCGCCCGGCCTCCTTTTTGTATTTTTAAGAGAGACGGGGTTTCACCATGTTGGCCAGGCTGGTGTCGAACTCCTGACCTCAAGTGATCCACCCTCCTCAGCCTCCCAAAGTGCGGGGATTACAGGAGTGAGCCACGGTGCCCAGCAGAGTTTCAGTTTCTTCTTCGCTCTCCCCTCAGGATGTTGTCCATGTTGGAACTTCCCCTCCAATCTGATGGCCAGGATTCCCTGTCTCCCAACTTCTCGCCTCCTAAATGACTGTGCAAGAAAAAGACTTTATATAACAGTATGGGGATGGAGAAGAGGGACTGAACTCTATTCACCGAAGCGCTGCTCTGCATGGCTTAGAAGGGCGGGGCCACACTGGGCTCAGTGGCTCAAGCCTGTAATCCCAGAGCTTTGGGAGGCCGAGGCAGGCAGATCACCTGAGGTCAGGAGCCTGGCCAACATGGCAAAACCCCATCTCTACTAAAATAAAAATACAAAAATTAGCTGGGTGTGGTGGTGTGCGCCTGTAATCCCAGCTACTTGGAAGGCTGAGACAGGAGAATCCCTTGAACCTGGGAGGCGGAGGTTGCAGTGGGCTGAGATGGCGCTACTGCCTTTTAGCCTGGATGACAGAGCAAGACTCCATCCCAGAAAAAGAAATAAAAAAGGGGGCTAGAGGGATAGCCCGTCCCTGACTTATCAACGACCTGCAAGCCCTTATGGCAAAGCCTCATGGGACCCTCCAGACGACTTCTGCACGCTTTAGATGACTTTTTACTCTTCTCCAAACATTAGAATTTATGGCCCACACCCACTACCTGACACTTAGGACCTCCTGCCCCACCCTTCTAAGTCATGCAGGTCAAAGCAATCTTCTGACTGGGTTTTTACTTAGCAAATCTGCACACATCTGCAGTGGCTGGACAGCCCACAGGAAAAGCTGCCCCAGCCCAGCCCTGGCCTCCACTTTAGTGCTTGGACCGTTGTTCTCCACCCCACAGCCCTGTGCTTCAAACTTGCTCCTCTTGCCGTAAGAGTACATGACACCCCTATTTCCAGCCCACCTGCTTCTTCACATAGGCTCATCCTGGGCCCCAGTGCTATTTTCCTACTGTTTACCCATGTAATTTCTGGGATGTGATCCTCAGCTCTGCCTGGAAGTTAGTGCTGTGTGCACACACAGGAACCAGGAGCCACACATCTCTCACAGCTGGCTGTGCCCAAAAGGACGGTCAAGCCCAGACCCTGGCCAGCAGCGGTGACCTGATCCTCCAGGAAGCACTGCTCAGGCCACCATCAGGAGCGTGCAGCAGTAACAAAGGCAAGCCAGACAGCCCAGAGGTGTCACCCTACGTTCTGTCACATTTCTGAGACTCAAACTGGGTTGCTGTGAAGATCAGATGAGATAAGCCATGTTAGGTGTTTAGAACAGTGCCCGGCATGACCACGTAAATACTGGTCAGTTACTTCACTCCTTTCTCCCCATTCTCTTTGTTCCGCTCTACCACACTCCCATCGGGCACCCCAATGGCCAACCCTACCCTTGGGGTCTGTGCATGTGCCCTTGAGCCAGCTCTGCTCTTCCCTATCTTCTTCACCTGGCACACTCTGTCGTGTCTCTGCCAAGATGCCTTCCTTGACGCCTGGGACCACATAAGGTCCACCTACCCTTCACCAACAGCAATGAGCGCAACCACCTGCTCGATTTCTCTCAAGTCCCCTCAGCTGCAAGCTACATGAAGACAGGGATTGGCTCCACCAGCACCACCAAGCCGCTGTGCTAGGGCCCTCAACATTCAGCAGATGTGCCTGGGATCTAAACACATCCACAGTTCCTCAACTGCAACTGCCAAATCCAAGAAGCACTAAAAAACAGAAGTTTTCTAAACTCAATTGGCAGTAAAGCCTCATCCAAGCTCATTTGCTAAAATCTGATCTGATCTAATATGGGGCTATTTATAGTCTTTTATCTCTCCTGCTGTGGTTATTAATACATTTTGCTACAGAAATAAACATGGTGGCTTATGCTGTGCTGCTTCTGATCTTCCACTACAGAGTAAATTCACCAGATCACCTTTTCAAAACCCCAAAAATTCTGAATTCTGAAATACGTCTAGGCCCAAAAACTTCAAAACTGTGAGAATGGAAGTACAAAGTTACTCACTTATTGCTAGCAGCCCATGTCAAGCCCTCTAGCCCGTTAACCTGAACTCACTCCTTCGTAGGAAGGACTGTCTTAAGTCTGGACTCTTGATGTAGTTTCCCAGCTGGTCTACCTGTCACTCATCCTGCTTCCCTCTCACAAACCCTCCCAATAGCAACGGTGCATCCCTCTTGACAAGCACGTCTGGTCACATTAACTTGCCTTAAAGCCATCAGAGGCTGCACTGCCCACCAAATAAAACTCAAACTCATTATGATGACATACAAAGCCCTTCTTACAGACTGGCTCACACATCCCTTTCCAACCTGACCTCCCACCACCCACCCCAGGGACCCTGCACTCCGGCCTCAGCAGGATGCTTTTTCCCCAATAAGCAAACCTGGACACTGCTGGGTCTTTGCTCCAGCTGGCCCCTCACCCTGAAATCTGGCCCATGGCACACCCTGCCAGCCGCCCACACATCCTTTCAGGCCACTTCAGGTGACTCCTTCTGCAACATCGCAGACAGAGCCAGGCCTCCCTGTGGCTGTGTAGCCCTAGCACTCTCTCCACACCGTAACAGAATCTGTGGCCACACGCACCTGACTCCCACCTTCCTCCTTAGGAAAGAAGACTCTGACTTCTGTGCCCGTCACAGTGCTTGGCACATGCGTGAGGTTCAAGCGGCTAGATGGAAGACTGCTCACACTGTTAGCGAAACCGGGGGGAAAGATGGTCAAAGCAGCAGCAAGAGCGTGAAGCGTTACATTTTCCAAAGATGACCGCACATATCCCATTCCATACGCTCTTCTTACAAGTGACAAAGACAGTCCTGGCTCCAGAGCGGAGGGTCTGTGCTCCCTCCCTTTGGTTCTGGGAAGAAGAGATGCTATGTGACTTGGAGGCTAACTCATAAAAGGCAGTAGTTTCCACCTGGTCCTCTTAAGATGCTTAATCCTAGGACCCTGCTACACGGACAGGACCCCGCTACACGGACAGGACCCCGTTACACGGACATGACCCCTCTAGGTATTCCAACTGACAGCCCCAGCTAAGGTCCCAGCTGACAGCCAGCATCAACTGCTAGACACAGGACACGGCCCTCCAGATTATCCCAGCCCCAGCCATACCTGACTGCAACCGTGTGAAAGACCACAAGCAAGAACCACATAGCTGAGACGTTAATGAAATGATTCTGTTGCTGTAAGCCACTAAGTTCTGGGGTGATTCATTATGCAGCCAGCAGTACCTGAAGCGATGAGAAAAAGAGAATCCAGATAATCTTGACAAGCAGGGCAAGAGTCCTCCCTGTTCTCCGTGCTCAGTTCAAAGTCCGAACACTGAGGCCCTGTCTCCACTCGTGCCCCCTTCCTTATTAGGTATCTACTCCTGCATAACAAATTACCTCGATATTCAGTGGCTTAAAACAAGTTATCACTTACTCCTTCTCACAGTTTTTATTGGTCAGAAATGTGGACAGTGCAGCACAGAGGGGAGGGACGTCTCTGCTCTACCATGCCTGAGGCTGAAAGACTCAAAAGTTGAAGGCTAGACTCCCCTGGAGGCTCTCAGGTCTCTCACATATCTGTAGGATGATGTTGGCAGCAGCTGAGACATTACTGGCAGGGGTGCTCGCTAGAACCCCTCTATGTGGCCCGGAAACGTACTGGAAGTGGTGGCTGCATTCCAAAGGTGAGTGTTCCAAGAAAGCGAGCAAGCCAGGTGAAGGTGTATCCTGCTCCTGATTCAGCCTTGGATCAGGTCTGTCTTACTCACTGGTCGAGGGAACCACAAGTTCCTATCCACATTCACGGGGAGAGAATCACAAACCCCACCACTGGGTGGGAAGTGGACAATGTCAAACGATAACTACATGTGGAAGGGGATACTTACGGGTGAGGCCCTTTAGGGAAAATACAATCTACTACACCTTCCTTTTTAAGTAGAACAACTGTCCTTAATCCTGACCTGAGTTCCTAACGATATCATTATGAGACTGGCATGCAAGGCACAGACTCAAAACTGACTTCCATTTTCTGGAGTTTTCACAACTCCTTTAGGGAAGTGACACAGCCAATCCACACCACCAAGTACAAAGACATCTGCACCAGGGTGGGAGATGAGAAGTGTGTCTTTTCAGTACCAAACCCTTCAGCCAAAACCCAGGTGGCTCTGGGTGGGTGCTACCCACCCCTACGGGGCTCACTCAGTTTCTGAATCATTTGAAGGACTGCCTAGGAGCTGTGAGAGCCTTTCTAACACTCTGATGCCATGGTATTCTCCAGCCTATTTCCTTTATCTGGCAAAAAACGTTTCTTAAACAGCAAGTGAACACCAGATAGTCAACTTCCAATCATGAGCAATAAGAGAGAAGTTATATTTAGCTTTAAAATTAAGTATAGAAGTGGAAGAAATGGTAACAGATTTTCCCTTCTATCTCTGCTTTGCTTAATGTTAAAAAGCACTACGTAAAAATTCCAGAAAATATAGACATGTCACAGATAATGGAAATCTAACTGAACTACTTTCATGTTCATTCTTAGACCTTGGCTGGACTCCTGTATCATGTACCAGGCCCATAATTTCAGGATGGAAAAAAAAAAAAAGAAAGGCAGTCAGAGAAGATACACTAAATAATTCAAGGGTTTAGAGAATAAGACCTAGGAGGGAAAGGATACAGGTTATTCATCCTGGAAAAGAAGAGCTAAATACAAGTGCCACAAAAGGCATGAGGCCTGGGATTCAGGCGATCCAGCCAGCAAGCAAGGCAACTTTGGACAAGTCGCTTGACCCACTCGTACCTTAGTTCTCTCATCTACAAGGTGACGGGTTGATTTGGTTCATCACAAGGTACCAGTGCCTGGATACTGAGGATAGTTACAATTTCCCTAATGCCCCAAACAATAATGAGTTTCCCTTGTTACACAGGCCACTGAGATCAGACATACTGCAGTGCTTTTAACAGTGAGAATAAGACACAGAAGCAGGGATATGGGTGAGCTCAATGGTCCCTGGAATTGGGAAGGACCAGGACCCAGTGATTCCTGATGGAAGGCAGACCCTGGATGATGTGAGCATGTAAGAGCAAAGGCTACATGGCCTGAAAAAATATTGTAAAAGACGGAAAATAAAGTTGGACAACTTCTCAGCCAGTGATGTTCTAAAACAAAACAGTAGACCCGCTACAGCAGCAAGGGTTAACCAAAGTGAAGCTTCAGCCTTGCGGGAGACAGAGCCGGCCAGCCACAGTCCCTCTACTAGAGTTTACCAGAGGCGGGCACTGCACGTCCCGGGGCTCTCTACTCCACACACGTTAGCAAACAGGTAGGAAGAAAAGTTTTCTTGCCAATTTATTATACATATTTTTCAACACTGAGTCAACACTTCCTTTCTGCCGAGGAGAATCCACCTCTATTAACTTGGGGAAAGGATGCTGGAGTGAGGTTGGGGGAAAGGCCACCTCCCCAGTCTCGCTCCGCAAACCCTCCGGGCACTCCCACCCCCTCCCTGCCCCGCACCCACGGACGCCCTGGGCCGAGTTTCACAACATCCTCCCCAGTCCGCGGAGCCCTCCCTCCTCCAACAGCTGGAGGCCCGGGATTCCGAAAGCAGAAGCGAAGTTCCACCCTCCCGGCTCGGGAAGGACTAAGGCGCAGCTGGGACCGGGTCGGCCCGGGCCGCTCCCCAGCCAAGCGCCCTCTCGCCCGCGCTCACGGGCACGGGGCTTTCGGGCGACCCGACGTCCCTGGGGCTCCCTCTCGCCGCCCGCGAGGCCTCCCCCGGTCAGACCTCCGTCCCCGGACCGCTACTCACCCGGGCCTCCCAACGTCCTGGCCCCGAACTTGGCCCGCCCGGGGGCGCAGGGAGCGAGCCCGGTGCCCAGGCGCTGCCGCGGCCGCCTCGCCTTTCGACTCGCCAGCCCTTCCTGCGGCGCGCCGGGGCCGGACCGCCCGGGCGGGCAACGTGGCCCTTCCCAGGCAGGCGGGGCGGGGCGGGGCGGACTGACGGGCGGGACCGACCGCCCTCCGCGTCCCGCCCCCCGGCCGGCGTCCGCGGCCCCCTCCTCCTGGCCCGCCTCCTTTCCCCGCCGCTTCTCAGGCAACCCAGGGCCCAAGTTTTCCCAGGCCCCCAACTTCGGGAGTCGGCTTTCCTGCTCCCTGGCGCAACCCTGAGGGTGGACGCCCGACCCCACCCCTGCCCTCGGCCCCCCAGCGCAGCCGCCCTGCCTGGAGCCGCGCCTCAAGTGGGCCCGCGGTCCAGGAAAGGCGTTCACCAAACCCCAGGCCGAGGGCTGGGAGCCGGTGCCCCCGCCCCAACCCAGGGGAGGCTGAGGGAGCCTGGGTGGGGGCCCCAGGGCGCGTGGGGCAAGGGCAGAAGAGGAACCAGGGTGCCCGACGCGGGGCTGGGGGAAAACACCTGTGCCAAAGCAAGCCAGGGCCAGCTGTGGCTTCTTCCCTTTCGTTTTTCCTTTGTGGGTGGGGAATGAGAGCGTTAGTTCTAAGTAAAGAAAACAGAGAGAGACCTGTCAGCAGGGTAGGCCCACCAGCCCTAGGCGGGAAGGACTGGGTCACAAGCTTTGGCGGGAGCACCATGGAAAAGCCCAGAACCGGTCTGCGCCTGGCTGGTGTTTTAAAGGGGAGGAAGGTGCGGAACTGAAGAGGAGGTGGAGGTGGACCCAGGCCCACCGAGGGGAGGGAGGGACAGCTCTTCCATAGCAAATACCTGTGGCTAAGCCAGGAGCAAAGTCTGGCCAGGAGGAGGAGAGAGGCAGACCACCAGGGGCTCTGGCGCATAGAGCCTGTTTCGCCAGCGATCAGGTCTGAGGCCTGGATTCCACGAGGCCGGTGCAAGCCAGGAGCCAGCCCCACTCCCTCCCCAGCTCCGTCCGGCCTGGCCCTCTGCAGAAGCTGGATGCCCACTCTCACCATGGGACCCCAGGCAGTGAGGGTGGATAGCCGAGGGCTACTGGCTGCTGGGTAGCTGACTTCCCCTAGAAGGGCTGCTGCCATATGATCAGGACCCACGCCCCTGACATCAACCCCTCCCCCATGTGCCAGAGCACGCAGCAGCCCGGAACTCTGAGGCCTGTGGTTACTGACTGAACTGACTGCTCACTAACTTGTTTCTACATGAAACCACGAATCGTACAGGGTTCTAGAGAAACAAAGGGCCCGGCGTACCCTGCAGGCCCCTGCGTGGAGGCCAGGACCTAAATCAAAACTGCTAAAGGGTTACCAGGCATAGTGAGAGGCCTCAGGGGCCAAACCCTCCCTCAGGCTCTCCTTCAAGCCTCAGGAGCTCTGCGGAGTGGGCGTTATCATCCCCATTCTACAGATAACTAGTTTGAGGCTCAGGGTAAATGCCAACATGCTGGAAGCCACAAGACCCGGTGGGGAGCACGGCCAGGTTTTAGACGGGGCACTCTTGCGCGCCCCCCCATCCACCCTCGCACACATCCTCCAGCGCCAGTGTTCTAAGAGGGCTCTGTGTCTTCTCAGGCGCTGCCCTGAAGCCTCCGCGGAAGTGGCCACAGCCCAGACCTGGAGGAGGAGCAGGAGAAGAGCAGGCCCACCGAGGCCCGCCGTGTGCAGTGTGCAGGAAGCCCGTAGCCTCCACTTTAGCTGACTGTGTGCACTGTGGCAGGAGCCTCGAGCCCAGGAGGGTGTGCCAGTCAGAGGCCAGTTGTCTGTCACCTCTGCCTTATGTTTCTCTAATGAACAAGAGTCAGGGGCCTGGGGGCTCTGCACACTCACACTAGGTGTCAGGCGTAAAGGAAAAAACAATTATGTTTCCTAAAAGTGAAAAGGCTGGGAAACACTGTTTTGTAGATCCAAGACATGACTAGCCAAAATCACCTTCCAGGAGAAAGGACAGACATCAGGGGGTGCTGAAAGGTGGGGGAAGATCAGCCCATGAGATGTCAGATTCCCACCACTAACCCTGATACTTCTCCATCTAAGGCAGGTGAAGGGGAAACAGTATGAGGGCTGTTTGTGCACTGTAACGCATACCCCCTCTCTACCACCCTTTGTTTAAATCCCAAGGCTCACAGGAAAATTCAAAAGGAGAAATTCCCGGACTGCAAGAGACCATCTCAAAAAGAAAGGGCCTGGTTAGAGAATCAGAATGGGCGTGATGGAGGCAAAAGAAAGCACTTGGTCTGAGAGGCAAGAAACCAGGGTAAATGAGTGCCAAACTGACCTGGGTTTGAAAAGAGGCTCTGAACTCTTGATAGAGGTTACATGGGGAGCAGTGATTGGGGGTAAGAAGGATAGCAACAAGGGCCCAGGATTCTGGGGGTGGGCCTGGGATTGGATTATGTGCAAAAAGAAAAAACAGGAGGATAAACAGTCACAGGATTAAACCAGAATTAGGAGGAACAATACTCTCCTGCCCACTCCACCACCAACAAAAAAGAACTGAAAGGATGAAAAGGAAGTGAAAACTGCTCCAGGAAATTGCCCTCCCATAAACCATGCCCAAGATCCCTGACATTTTTTACAATTTGGAAAGAATTCATGCCCTTAAATTAAAACATATGTTGGCTTGAAAACATCAGTAAAAGTAAAAGCAGGCCAGGTGCGGTGGCTCATGCCTATAATCCCAGCATTTTGGGAGGCCAAGGCAGGCGGATCACGAGGTCAGGAGTTCGAGACCAGCCTGGCCAACATAGTGAAACACCATCTCTACTAAAAATACAAAAATTAGCCAGGTGTGGTGGCGTGCACCTGTAATTCCAGCTACTCAGGAGGCGGAGGCAGGAGAATTACTTGAACCTGGGAGGCGGAGGTTGCAGTGAGCAGAGACCATGCCATTGAACTCCAGCCTGGGTGACAGAGTGAGATTCCATCTCAAAGAAAAAAAAGTAAAAGCAAATGTTTAAAATCAGTGTTTTGTTTCCCTTCTCCCTGCCTCCCAATCTCTCTGTTTGCCATTCTCCCTCACCCCACAATGGAGACCCAGAAATTCATCTCATCCAGGTCAAAGAGGAAAGATTAACATAATAAGCACTAAACAATGTCTGTGAAATGTAACTTTTGGTTAGCCACCTCCAATTCCTTTTGGAATAAAGAAGGATATAAATAATTGAGTTAAAATACACACATGGCCGGGCACCGTGGCTCATGCTTGTAATCCCAGCACTTTGGGAGGCCAAGGCAGACAGATCACGAGGTCAGGAGATGGAGACCATCCTGGCCAACATGGTGAAACCCTGTCTCTACTAAAAATACAAAAAATTAGCAGGGCGTGGTGGCGCGTGCCTGTAGTCCCAGCTACTTGGGAGGCTGAGGCAGGGGAATAGCTTGAACCTGGGAGGTGGAGGTTGTAGCAAGCTGAGATCGCACCACTGCACTCCAGCCTGGCAACAGAGCAAGACTCTGTCTCAAAAAAAAAAAAAAGAAAAAGAAAAAAAAAGAAATACACACACACACAGTCTGGTGAAGTCTATCACTGCTCTTGGCTAAGTAGCCTGACACCTGCTGAGTGCCATGCCCTGGCATCCTGGTGCCCCTGTGAAAAAGCCAACGGTTGTCTTGAAAGGCCTGTCTCATGGAGGGTCAGGTGGAGGGCGGAGGGTGAGAAGGTCAGGGAGAGGAAAGCTTGCTCACTCTAAGGAGGAAACGTTCCACCAGAGTGGCTGTCTGGCGGGTACAGAGCTTCTCTCCCTGGAGGTCTGCAGGACCCAGATGGCCCTTGTCAGGTCAGATGCTGTGGAAACAGCACAGCCCTGGGAGGTGATTTCAGTGCCGACCACTCTACCCTTAGGCAAACCCTTCCCACTCAGGGCTTCCGAAGCTTCCCCTCAAACTGGGAAAAGAATCCCTGCTGTGTTCTCCTCACAACAAAGTGGTGAGGGAAACCGGACAAAACAGATTGATGGATGACACGATGGAAGCACTACGCAAATACACAACTCCCTGGTACCTGGGATCCCAGAGACGGCTGAGGAGGCACCATGGCATCACATGTCCCTGAGGGACCACTGTGACCCGTATCTAAGCAAAGACCAACACCAGAAATGTGCTGGGTGAAGCTGGGGAAGGTGGCATACCCACCTTGAGACCCACACCTTATCAAGGAGCAGCCTGGCTTCAAAGGGGCTGCCCCAGGCATCAAATCAGAGGAGAAAGAACAGCTTGGGAGCAGCAGCTCCACCCAGGCCACCGCCCACCGCTCAGGCCGCTGGAGGGAGTGAGGAAAACTCCTGTGGCAAAAAAGGAAAGATTGGGGCAGGCGGTGGAAGAAAAAAATTTAACACGGAAAGTAAGGCATAAGTACAGGATTTTCAGTTTGCAGATGACCTCACTGGCACCCATCCTCAAGGAACACGTGAGGCCTGGGTGTTACTGAGCTAGGGAGAGGCAGAGACTGCCAGAAGCCAGGCTTCCTGCCCTTTGCCCAGGCCACCACATCCTACTGTCTCTCCAAATTCCCAACACTGTGCTCCACCTCTCCTTTCTGCTGTGTGTGGTCACTGGGAAAAGCAGGCATCTTGGCACAGGTAAACTGGAATTGAAGAAGGGAGCAGACAGGAAGTGAGAAGATAAAGACAAACAGGGCTGCTTTTAGTGGGAATACAGCCTGAGAAAATACGAAGGGCAAAAAGATGTCAGTCTGGAAAGCAACGTCATCTTAAAGAGCTGGAAAGATAACGAGGATATGGCACAGGAAGGCAAAGACCACCATTCACTCCAAGAAATGCAGTACCAATTCCTAGTCAGACACTTGCCCTCAAGGCTTAGGCATCCCTCCACCCCCTCTTTCATCAGCTACCTCAAAGGGGCACACTGAAATTGGACTGCAGAGCCATAAGGACCAATGTAGTATCTGCAAGAATCTTCAATCCAAGTTCTCCTTGGATCCATTCGCCTGTTCTACAACTTGATGATCCCAAGTACTGCTTAACAACAAGATGATGAAACAAATTCAGGCTTTTACCTAAGGACATCTTCTTAGGCTTCTGCCAGCACAACACTATTTCAACAAGAATACAGAACTCCTGATTCAGAGTTGTTTCTGCGCTTTTAAGGCACATGTAGCAATGTCAATGCTATTGTTTCCTACGTACATGGCCCCGATACTTTTCAAAATCCTTCATTGTTTCATTCGCTCCTTGTAACAACTTGTAAGGGACCTGGAAAGTCAGTGTTCCCCATTTTGTAGGTGAAGAGAACATGGCCTGTGTACGGTTGCACACTGACTAAAAAAGTCAAAGCTAGAACACAAGTACTCCTTCCTGATTCCCAAACCTGTGTTCGGTTCCTCTGCTCTTTTCCTGAGCTTTCATGGGCTAAGCTCCTGTTATAGAAAGAGGAAGAAAGACAATTTAGGAGGTGATCTAGACCATTCCCGCCTTCTCCTCCCACCAGCAGTCCTTTTCAGTTAGCTCCCCAAAACAGAGCAGCTGCCTCTCCTAGGTAATCCATTCCAGTCTTAACCCAGACTGACTTGGAATCCTATTATCTCAGCGTTGGAAGGGCCTTTAAAGGTAATCTAATCCAACCTCCCTTCGGAAGCCTGAATTATTTGCATGTTCTCCTTGGCCAAACCCCTCAATTGCCATTGCTCACAATCCCTTACAAGTCACTCATCCAGCCTGGGTAAGGACAGATGGGGAACAGGTCTACACCCGGACAGAGTAATGGAGAGGTGTAGCTTCCAGTGCACCCATCTGGATAAGATTTCCGGAATAATAGCCTCTGCAAACTCGCCCGCTCAACAACTTCTGCACACGCGCAGTAAGACATTAAATGGGAAATGAGACAGGAGCCTTACCTTTCCTCTTGTCTCAGTTGCTCCCCAGGAGATCATCAAACCCCCATTCAGCACTCCATTTTCAAAACTGAGAATCCCAAATCAGATCCACCAAAGTGCAGCTTCTCTCTTCTTATCCAGGTCCAAAGTCCATGGCTGAGCTGACCCTGACAGGGAGGAGTCTGGGGGGGAAGGGGTGTGTCCAGGCCCCTCCCCCCCCACTGCAGACTTCAGTGCCCCTCTCAGGGGTCCGTTACCTCCCTTCATTCAGCTGCCTTATTAAGCTCAGAGTCTGGTGATGGGCAGATCCCAGATACTATCCCATCTCTTGCTCAGGCAGGGGAAGTTATCCACTGTAAGAACTGGCCCATCTGTCTTCTGCGGAGGCTCATAAGAAACAGGCCTTAGAAGCGGCATGGCCCAGGTGGCAGATTTTCGTGTTAACCTGCAGAACATTTAAACATTATAACACTCTCTAATCTAGCACATACCCAAAGAGAGTCCTAAAACCTTCTAGTTTCCACTCCCCACCTAAGAGTGCATACTAGATTCTATCATCAAAAAACTTTAAACACTCCGCAAGGTTATACAAAGCACCTACTTAACTCACGTATCGCACGCCAGAACACAGTCACCTCAATAGTGTGTTTATATACAAACACATGTAATATAAACATTATATATGTACAAACATATACGCGATTCAGGATAAAAGATGGGTCGTACCCATTCTCGCCACAGAAAAGTAACCGGAGACTGTCTTCTAAGAAATCGAGAAGAGAATGCCCTTTCTTCTGCCCGCCTGTCTAAAGCCCAACATAATAATCGAATCTCCCCAGCTTCTTAGGGTGCTAAGTGTTTTAATCCACCAGCCCTCTTCAACTAAACTAATGAATCCTTTCCAGACCGAGACGTTGGCATCTTCTACATGCATTCTTTGCTCCTTTTCCTTCAACTAAGCTCCCCCTCCGCTTGCAAAACTGTGCCAGAGATATAATTCCCAACCTCTGTTAAAGTCCTTCCCGGGGCTACTCCCGAGAACACTCTCCTGGAATGTTTAAGGCCCAAGTCCTGCTTGCAGCAGCCCCACAGTGTTCCTATTTCTCAGCCCGGATGTCGCCCCATCCCCTCCAAGTTTATTCCTAAACACACATCCCCACACAGACACACACTCTCTCCTTTCCTTCCTGTAGGGGCGTGGCGTCCACACGACCTCCACCCCCTCCAACAATGTAACTCCTCCCACCCTTCCCCCGGAACCCCGTGCCCCGAGTTCACAGGAGAAGGGGGTGACACTGCGACCCTCCATGGACTCCGACCCCCACCCGGCCGCCCTGCGGACGACCCTCGCCCTAACTGAGCCGGCTCGTTACCTGGTTCCCGCCCGCCCCGCCTCGGCTAAGAGCCGCGGCCCGCCCCGGTAGCAATCCAGGCCCCAGGCCCGATCCCCAGCGCCGGCCCAGGCCCCACCCCCTCGACCCCCAGCGGCCCGGCCCTCCCCTCGCACTCCTTCCCCCTCCCACCATCCACCGCAGCCACTTCCGCCCGTCCTCCGGAAGTGGGCCCCGGCACCGCGGCCTCCCACATCCCGCCCATTTTTCTACCCCACGTCCCCAGCCCTTCACCACCGCCACCACGGGAGCGAGGGAGGTGGGTCTGCAGGGCCTGAGATTGTTCGACAGCCACTGTTCACGAGGCTGAAGGGCAGGTGTGGGCAGAACCAGGTTGTGAGAACGAAGCCGGGCGCAGAGTGGCGGCCGTACAGGAGGGGGAGGGGCAGAAGAGCCTGGCCAGCGGCGGAAGCGCACGGCAGGTGGAGGCGCGCGGGAAGCAGCACGCATGCGTCGCGGGGGTTTGGCCCTTGGGCTGCTGGGCGGGGCTTGGGCGGGGCGAGGACGCTGAAGTGGGGGCGGAACCTGTGCGGGGCAGCCCTGCCCTCTGCCTCCGCCCAAAGGTCGCCCCGCCACGGCCCGCTTGACCCGGCTTCTCAAAAAGGGTGGGGGCCTCCGTGCTGGTCGCGGGTCCCGGCGCGAAGCCTTTCGGAAAGCTCCGCGGCCTGTGTGTTCTGCTTCCTCGGACGCGAGCTGCGTCCCAGTAGTGGAGGAAGGTTTTATTTCGTTCATCGCGGCCGTTTCTCGCTGCCTCCCTTGACGAGGCAGGACCTTCCCGCCCTCCGGCAGGTGCTGTTGGTCCCTGTGGCCGGGCCCCCGAGGCTGCCGGGAGGAGGGCGGCCTGGCCGTTCCCGGCGTGCCCCGGGCTCCTCGGAAGCGGCCTCCGCTCCTTCAGACGTCGGACCCGAGTTCCAAATGTGCCCCGCGGTTTTCCCGCACCCTGGATCCTAGGAGCCGCCTCTCGTTTTCGAAGTTCCTGTGCAGCGCTCTCCCGACATTTTCGAGAATCTTACCAGGACTGGGCACGGGTTTGCAGCCTCCGTTTTGCCCCCTCTTTTCGAACGCCGGAATCTCGGCCCGGCCTGCCGGCCTGTGTTCTGCGGTGGGATGTCTCCGGAGCACGGACGGACTGAACATTCCCGTTACCGGGAGTGTAATGGTTGCTGCGTCAGGACTCTTGAAATGATTTTTTTATTTGGAACGATACCATAATATTTGGAATTTTCTTAAAGGAGAAAATATATATTGCTTAATTATATTGCTTGGAATATATTATTCCAAGGAAGAAGAAAGTAAGACCCTTTCTTCCCCCACCTCCAAACCCGCTCCGCCCGCCTGCCTTTCCCATCAGCATTAATGGCGGCTGCATTTACTCAGGCCAGAGCCGGAAGAGCCCGCTTCACTCTCACAGCCTCGACACAACCTGACTGGAAATCCTGTTGACGCTACCTTAAGTCTGTGTCTAGGATGCAGCACCTCAACATGTCCGCACCCCCTTCATCCCTCGCCTGAGTACCTCGGTCGCCTGCCCTCCCTACGCTCCCAGTCGCCGGGTTTCCATACAGCAGCCGCAGGGATCCTGTGGGTTCTGTGCTCCACGCTGCACAGCGGCTCCTCAGTTTACCAAAGTCCTTACAATGGCCGCAGAGCCGGCCAACCCGCTGGTTGCCTAGCTGTCTGACTTGATGTCCGCGTCCTCTGGCCTCTGCACTGGCTGCTGTCTACTTGTAAAACCCCCCGTCCAGGCGTGTCCAGGACTGACCCCTTCAGCTCTCTCAAATCTTCACTCCCATGTCACCTCAGTGAGGCCTTTCCTGACCGACCTATTTAAACGTGGCCCTGACCCGGAGCACTGCTAGTCTCCCTTGGCCTGCTCCGCTCTTCCCACGACACTCACTCACCGCCTCCTAAAATACTCGCTGTGTTTACCATGTATTGTTTGTCTCCCGCTACTAAAATTTAAGTTCCCTGAGTGGAGGCACTTTTGACTTTTGATTGCCTGCTGTATCCAGGTGCCTGCAACAGTTGCCTGGCACATAGTAGCAGCTCAGCACACATTTGTGGAATAAATGAACGAATGAATGAACTTGAACAACTATTTTCATGGTAGAGTATTCCCCTTCAGGCTTCTCTCACATGGAAATATATGAACATAGTTACAAGCACAGTATACATATTTTGCATTATGATTTCTAATCATACCATAGAGACTTTACATATTTCTAAGTATTTTCATAATTATAACCATTTTTACTTAAGTGACCTTCGATTTTTCATGCTTATTATAACAAGTCATACAGAGTTGTGTAAACAAAAAATTGTCTCCTGTCCCCCTCTCATCCCACCCTGCTGAAAGGAACCACTGTTTTAAACTAGTGGATATCTTTCCAAATATTTTTATACACATACGCGTGCGCGCGCACACACACACACACACATAACAGGTACAAATTTCACAGTTCAAAGACATATATTCCTGAATTGTAACTTTATAATTCGAGTCAATTTGTATTTTAGGTCTTTCCTCCCATAGTAGAAAAATGAAATCTAGTTTATTTAAGGTAAATGTTAGTATGTAATGATGTTTATTTATTAATGGTCAGTTACAATTTCAGTTGCTTCAGAATTTACTAATGCCCTTTTCACCATATAATTGCCAGTTTTAAAACGTTGTTATTAAAAATGTGCAATAATTACAGGAAAATAGAAAATGATAAAATAAAAAAGCAAAAACCACCTGTAACTCCAGCAGCCAGAAATAAGCCTATGAAAAATATACTTCTATGGCATTTTTAATGAGCAAGTGGCATACTATTATACAAATGTACCATAATTATCTCCCCTATTTTTGCACATTTGGGTTGTTTTCAACTTTTCACTTTTGCAAAATTACTTGTAGCTAAATCTATGTGCACGTCATGTTTTTTTTTTTAAAGGATAAAGTCCAGGAACTCATGTCAAAAGTGGTGCTCATTGTTGAAGGCGTTTGATTAATATGAAAGACATATAGAAAGACGGCACAGCTTCGACATCAACTTTTCTCCACACCCTGCACTGTCACACCATTTTTTGTCATCTTTGTTAATATGATAGAACAGTGGTTTCGCATTGTTGTTTTAAGTTTTATTCCACTGATTACTAGTAATGTTGAACCTGTTTTTATGCATCACTTTTGCAGATTGCCTGTGCATATCTTTTGCCCACTTGGATTCATCTTTGTCTTATTCATTTGCAAGAACTCTTTATAGAATATCAGCCCTTTGTTACCTATGTTACAGCCATTTTCCCAGTTTGTCATTTGCTTTTTAAGTCTGTTTACGTGGAATTTTGATATTACATAGTCAGCGCTAGCTGGGCCAAAAGTCTGGTCTTGCTGTACATTCTCTGCCTTCAGAATAAACACTTAGGAGTAAGCTAGAGATTTTTGTTATCAGTTACTCCACCTGGAGGACCAGCAGGTGGAGTCTCCGTGGTCAGTCTCTCAGACTGTCATTTGGATTGGGGGGGGCGAAGAGGGACTGAACATCTGGAGAATACGGTTGTTGGGCTCTTTATACAGGTGGACCCCTCTTTCCTGTGGAAGCCTCGCATTTACATGAGAAGCGGCAGGAAAATGGCCTCCGCTCCCTTCTGCCTTTCCAGTCTAACTCAAGGGCACCTGAGTGGGTGAACCTAACTGCAAGGGAGTTAGATGTGTGACCTATTCATCGAGAAAGAAGGTAGCCAGAGGGCCTACGTACGGTCCCCACCAAGCTCAAGTCTCAGGGCTTCCCATCCTGGCTTGTTGAATTATCTATTCTGGCAGCTGTTCTAGTCAGTACAGCTGATAGTAAATTTTAATAACTGGCAGTAAAAGTCTTCCCCCAGTGACCTTGATGTTTTCTTGGCCATTTTCACACATTTTTTCAGGTGTATATTTTTTCACACTATTTATTCAGATGATAATTGTAATTCATTTCAGAAACTGGATATCTCTTGCAATTTCCTGGGCTTCTCCGTACCCTGGCAAGTGTTCTTTGTGCTTTTTTTAGTCTGAAGTCTGGTAGGTACAAAATACAAAAGTTAGTGTATTTGCTATTTGTTAGATGCCCTTGCATCCTGGTATTTTAAAACTCTGGCCCATAAAGAAACAACCACAGTCACTTCCTCCCTCAATGTTATTGTGCCTCTTGGCAGCTTCTGACATTGTCAGCTGCTTCCTTCTGACACACTTCTGACTCCCATATCAGCATGCTCTCCTGGGTTCCCCCTCCTCTGGCTACTCCTCCTCAGCTTCCTGACAGGCTTCTCACTTTTCTCCCTTTACCCGGTACTTGCTGTGCAAATGCTGAGTTCCCTAGGGCTCTTTCCTGGGCCCTTGTGTCTTCTCATTTTACACTTTCTTTCGAGATGATCCCACAGAAGTCACATGGCTTCCAGTATCCACTCCATGTCAAAGATACTTCTTCTGTTTCTATTGCTTATAACAGAGTATCTGAAACGGGGGCCAGGTGCTGTGGCTCACACTTGCAATCTCAGTACTTTGGGAGGCCAAGGTGGGTGGGTCACGAGGTCAGGAGTTGAAGACCAACCTGACCAAGATGGTGAAACCCCATCTCTACTAAAAATATAAAAATTAGCCGGGTGTGGTGGCAGGCGCCTGTGATCCCAGCTACTCAGGAGGCCGAGGCAGGAGAATCACTTGAACCCCGGGGCGGGCGGCGGTTGCAGTGAGCTGAGTTCGCGCCATTGCACTCCAGCCTGGGCGACAGAGTGAGACTCCGTCTCAAAAAATTAAAAAAAAAAAATTAAAAATTAAAAACAAGGAACATCTGAAACTGGGTAATTTATAGAGAAAGGGAATTTATTTCTTACAGCTCTGGAGGCTGAGAAGTCCAAAGTTGAGGGGCTGCATTTGGTGAGAGCCATCTTGCTGGTGGGGACTCTGCAGAGTCCTGAGGGGTTGAGGGCATGACAT